AGTATTTATTTTGCTGTTTTCGAGAGTATACTTAATTTATAATGAAAATAAAACTCTTCATTGAAGGAGATTAATAAAGAAGAAGCATCCGAAAGTGATTGATTTGACAAGGGCATATGTAATGATGAAACTCAGATTCCGATTGGACTAAAGTATTGGTGATCAAGTGCCTTCGTTACAAAGTTAACATATCAAAGTTCAAAATCATTTAAAGGTTACACTGAGAGAATTTATCTATTTTTATATGTTCATGCTTGATTTTGGTTTGTTTACCTATGAATGATGGAATCGAAATTTACCGGAAATCGCTATTATGATAAATACCGGCTAGCCGATGCTTGTCTAGTTCTAAATACAAAAAAAAGTCAAGTATGTCTTAAAAATTCAGCGGGTAAAGGTCAACAGTTTTTTATTGAATGTTATACTTTTTAACGATAATATATATATATATAATCAGGAAATCATTTTCCTGGTGAATAATTTTTATTTTAATAATTTTTCCTAAGAAATGTGCCAGTTTTAATCAAAAGTCTATAACCTAAAATTTTCATGAATTATATTAACTTTTGTTTGACCTGAAAAAATAACAACAACAAATCATAGCTCGTTGTAATATAAGATAATATACTTATAGCACGACTGTGACTTCGTCGCAATAGTAAACTCTACCCATATCCGTTACAACGCCATTTTCCTTGTATGTGCTACTAGTACAAAACTACAAATGCACTTGAATAACACTGAAATGAGTGATGTGATACAAACTAGGAGAGATAAATTGCATCTATTTTTTAAATTATTTCAGATTAATATTCCCTCGACAATACGGTTGTTGCATAAAATTCAACATGCATGTTGTATCGATCTATAATTTCAGATTTCAATTATACCTTTTTCGATCGTAGGGAACGTGTTAGAGTATCGCGTTTTCCGCTTACAGTATAGAATTTTAAAGATGGAGGATTATTCTCTACTTCCCTATGTTCCCTACGATGTTCTTGGTCAATATGAAAAAATATTTTATCGTCAGGACGTGAAATTATAAACATCTAAACCAGAACTAGAAAACTGTATTTTTTAAAATGACATGTAGCCTGAAGCTGTGATTTTGTGACGTCAGCAAATAGATTTTTTTCTGGTGAAATGAGCAAACATTGGTGAATTATTTCTAAAGAAATATTTGATTTATAATGTTTTGTACATTTTTGTGTCTTTTATTGACATTGGTGGTTCCAAACGTTATTATTACATGTGTGTTAGTTTGACAAGAGCCGTGGCTTTCCTTGTGATTATTCATTATATAAGGTGTATTTATTTCACTTAAATTCGTATTTGTTATACTATAGTTTGCATTTATTAACAAAATATCAAGCTCCTTTGGTCAGCAGATTGACCATAGGGGATGTCCTACGCTCATGATTAAATATTCTTAGCACCCAACCCTTTTGTATATTGTGCAGATATATACATGTATCTCTGCACAAGAATTCCACATATTCACGAAACACAAACACAATTTTATTAAATTTTATATTTTAAAACAAAGTATAAGTTTTTAGATGGGCACCCGGTCCGATGATGAAATGTTTTAAAGTCCGGTTATAATAAAGATTATTTTGGGAAAAATTTTTAGCTCAAATCGGTTTAACCACTTTTAAAAACAAGGCTACAATGGACACCTACAAATCTTTGCAGGTATGTAATGGCTCTATATAACCTAAAGGTGTGTAAATCCTTGCCACATGGTGCAAAAATACTCGGTCAATAATTTCTGTACCACAAAATAGTTTATGATTCTTCTTATTTTAAATTTAGTGTGTCATAGATGTATATATCATTCAAAACGAGCCATGTTATAAAATATCAAAGCTGTGTTAACTTTGCCCAGGTCTCTCCTACGTGTACTAAATATATGAGTCGAAAATTGAGTAGTTCAACATACTGTTCAAACTAAAACAATTTACATGTATCTTAAAAATATTCATTATCAAAGCATTGGAAATGTTTTCTCATGCTTCCCCCATATAACAAAATACTCAAGAACCATCCAGATAGTGTTTCTATTTTATGCTGATTTTAGCAACATTTCAAGGGCCAAAAGATTGATTTATTAAAGACTCTTTTTTGAACATTAATAAATAATTCTAATTAATTATGTTATACTTAGGTGATTAATTACTGCTTTTAAGTCAACGCTGAAGACGCTGCCCTCTTCATCGTCACTTGTGATTTTGTTTGCGATGATTTTTTTCTTGCAGAATTTGCTTCCGTTTGCCAAAATGTATTTCCTCTTTGCATAATTTATATACAAATTTCCGTCAATCTTATTAAAAGTATTTCCTTTTTAGTCTAGTTTTGAATAATATTTGATCGACTATTATTTAGTTTGATCGCCATAGTGTGACGCCAGGAACTCTTGACATGCGCATTAAAGACTTTCACATTAAACTTGGTGGCTCAGAGGCAGAAATCACAAACTTCCCTCGAATAAAAAAATCACAGGGACTTAGAGGTACGTATGACAATTTCTTTATCTTTTTATGACCTTCGAAATAAGCGATTTCATGGATTGATACATATATGCAGTAAAATTATACAACATTGACGTATGTTTCCTATTTTTAAACTATGCTCAACCTACAACATAATAAATTAAACTCTGTATTTTCTGGAGGATTTTTTGGCTCTATTTTAAAACCGTACTTGATAAGTGAATATTTAAAATTGATTTTAAAAAGTGCTTTATTTAAAATAAAGTAGATGTTTTTCTTAAAATATGCAAGTTTCAGAATATTTTATACAAGTGTTTTGTAATTACAAGGGTTTAGTTACACCGTCTGGAAACAATTATTTAATATCTTCAATATTGTATTACATTTAATTCGAAACATGCTCTGTAGAAAAATTATCCTTTGTGAAAAAGAAACCTGTTTTACATGTATGTTTCTGTTGTAGTTTGATTACGAAAACGAACCAACTCGTGGAGGAAAAGTGTTCGTCACAACGATGCAGTGCGTCTCGTGCAAAAAGAACGTACACTTGAAGAATTACTCGCACGTGCGCTGTCAAATGTTGCACAAAAATTACCGATGAATAAAGTAAAAGGTTAAAAAGATTAGTGAATGGCAAAAATGTTTAAGATATATGACCATATCGGGCCGATACAGGATTAATGTCGGCATGTCGGCAAATTATGCCGTCTTTTCTGTTAAATTGATTATCATGCAGCAAATAATTGTACATCTTGATATGAATTTCTAAAATAAATGTAGTTGAGTTTGAAAATGATATGTGGTTTGTTATTAAATTCAATATTTATGTTTTGACTACATAAAAAATCACTCTTTTATTATATTTTAAATGAACAGCTTGCAAATATTAACTGTAGCCTGACAATTAACAGATTAAGCACCAAAAACAAAAGCTAACAAAGGAAGGTGATGAAAAGCATGTTTAATTTTTTTAATGTAATTATGATTCAACAAATGTGTAAACGCTGTTAACAATTTTATTTTTACACTTTAAATGATTGGAAAAATACAATTTATCTGTCTGTCTATTTTTTAAATGTAGAATTATGTTTGAAAATATTTGTTCGACGATTTCGCGACATGTGTTATCATGGTAGTGATTGCAACGTGCATATCAAAGTTAAATATTCGCCTTTATTGTCTTATTTTGTTAAATAATAATTTTTCATTTGTGTTTTTGCAGGTTATGCCAAATGCTTGTTGCTAGATGTCATCAACATGCTAGCATAGGGATCATACATGGTCGATGTAGGGCCGATTTCTTTCTACTGTTGGCTGACATCGCACCGCTTTTGGTTTGATGTTGGGCCGATGTAGGCAAGAAATATCGGGCCTATATCGTTAAGATATCGGCCCGATATTGTGCTGCCGATGTCGTGCCAACATCATTCCTATTTCAGCTGAGGTTAAATCCGACATCGGGTCGTCGTAGAAAACCATGTCTGTTTGATGTCGGGCCGATATAAAATGTTGGCTGGCTAATTCATGCAAATAAGGACAAGAAAATACGAAAAATTAAATTGATAAACTTTGAACTCAATATTAACATTTATCACACACCCGGTTTGCGACTCTGTAAAAAATGGTATTGCACCTACTGTGCATATCTTTTGACATGTCGTCATTAGCGTTATACAAACATATTATAATACTGCACGTTTGTAACGTCGCTTTTCCTTGGATAATCGTGACGTTTATATAGTTTCATACACACGGCTGCTGTCGATTCATAAACAAATCTTACTTTTATCTTTTTCTCTTAAAAATGGTGTTCTGTATTATAAATTCGTTATAAAGATTGTTGACAGGTTATATGGCCGTATATAAACGGTTGTTTGCAATATATATTTACAAATAGCCGTTTATATAGGGCCATATAACCTGTCAACAATCTTTATAACTAATAGTGTAAAGACGCGCTAAATGTTAGCGTTATACTAAAGACATTTTAAAGAAAAATGACTCTTTTTTTCACTTTAAACGATCTTTTTTTTCTTTTTTTTTTGGGGGGGGGGGGGGGGGGGGGGGGGGGTTAATAGTTTATTAAATTCGTGTAAGTTTTTTACTGATTCGTGTAAGTTCTTTACTGAATCTATTGAAAACGTTGAACAAAATCACATTAGGCTCGCCAGAGGCCGGCATAATGTAATTTTATTCAACTCGTGCAATAAATTCAGTGTTGAACTTTCACGCATCCAATATCCTCTATATCCATGGAAGTTACTTGAGCATGTTTAATGCTGAAAAAGGCGAGAGTCAAAGACAAAAGGTCCAGTATCTGATATTATTGAATGTAAAACTTTTGTACATGTATTACGGACAAAAGTAAATGACTTCTTTAACACCTCCATTTAAAGATATATAAGGTAAATATAGGTATTTAAATATGGACCAAAGTCAATGCCTTAATTATTGTTATTTTGCCCGTGATCTGAATAGATAAAATAGTAAAAAAAAATGATAATAAAGTAAAATTTTGTTGTTATTTTATTTGTGTGTACATGTGTATTTGAATAGTAATTTTGCATCAGAACGTCGTCTTTATTTTCGTCCAAAAAGATCAAGAATATTAAGTCCTCCACACGGCATGCTGGCATCCCCAGGCTTAGGAGTCTCGTGGAAGTAATGAGCAAGGTTTTGAATGCTAAAAATAAAGAAATCATTATATCAATTTCACTATTCGGCTATAATTGGAGGAAACTCCAAAAATTGAATGTTTTCGGGGTACTTATAATTAATATAAAATAAACACATGATTTTATTTATTTATTTTTTTTTTTTTTTGAAATTTAGAAATTTAAAGTTTATAACGAGCACGTAAATGTCGTTAAAATTCACAGCGTGTACATTAGTTTTTTGTTTGTTTTTTTGTTTTTTTTTTAAGTAGATCTACAAAGTTGGATAGCAATGTAACTTCGTTCGTATATTATGAAATATGACAATCGCTTTTATATGTTGTACAGATTCATTTTTATAATACAAATGAAGTAAAATGCTTGTTGTCCATACCTGATTATATCCTATGATATAGATTTAAAAAAAAGATAAATATATAACATTGTCTGTGCCGTAGAATATACTTACGAATGACACACCAGTGGACAACCATAGGTAAGCGCGCTACCATCCTGTACTATCTTATAACATTGTCTGTGCCGTAGAATATACTTACGAATGACACACCAGTGGACAACCATAGGTAAGCGCGCTACCATCCTGTACTATCTTATAACATTGTCTGTGCCGTAGAATATACTTACGAATGACACACCAGTGGACAACCATAGGTAAGCGCGCTACCATCCTGTACTATCTTATAACATTGTCTGTACCGTAGAATATACTTACGAATGACACACCAGTGGACAACCATAGGTACGAGCACTACCATATCTGGTATTATCTTATGATATTGTCGGTGCCGTAGAATATACTTACGAATGACACACCAGTGGACAACCATAATTATGTTATTGCGCTACCATCCTGTACTATCTTATAACATTGTATGTGCCGTAGAATATACTTACGAATGACACACCAGTGGACAACCATAGATGAGCGCGCTACCATCCTGTACTATCTTATAACATTGTATGTGCCGTAAAATATACTTACGAATGAGACACCAGTTGACAACCATAGATGAGCGCGCAACCATCCTGTACTATCTTATAACATTGTCTGTGCTGTAGAATATACTTACGAATGACACACGAGTGGACAACCATAGGTAAGCGCGCTACCATCCTGTACTATCTTATAACATTGTATGTGCCGTAGAATATACTTACGAATGACACACGAGTGGACAACCATAGGTAACGCGCTACCATCCTGTACTATCTTATAACATTGTCAGTGCCGTAGAATATACTTACGAATGACACACGAGTGGACAACCATAGGTAAGCGCGCTACCATCCTGTACTATCTTATAACATTGTATGTGCCGTAGAATATACTTACGAATGACACACCAGTGGACAACCATAGGTACGAGCGCTACCATCCTGTACTATCTTATAACATTGTATGTGCCGTAGAATATACTTACGAATGACACACCAGTGGACAACCATAGGTAAGTGCGCTACCATCCTGTACTATCTTATAACATTGTATGTGCCGTAGAATATACTTACGAATGACACACCAGTGGACAACCATAGGCGAGCACTACCATCTGGTATTATCTTATGATATTGTCTGTACCGTAGAATATACTTACGAATGACACACCAGTGGACAACCATAGGTAAGCGCGCTACCATCCTGTACTATCTTATAACATTGTATGTGCCGTAGAATATACTTACGAATGACACACCAGTGGACAACCATAGGTAAGCGCGCTACCATCCTGTACTATCTTATAACATTGTCTGTGCCGTAGAATATACTTACGAATGACACACCAGTGGACAACCAAAGGTAAGCGCGCTACCATCCTGTACTATCTTATAACATTGTCTGTACCGTAGAATATACTTACGAATGGCACACCAGTGGACAACCATAGGTGAGAGCGCTACCATCTTGTACTATCTTATAACATTCAGCCTCACATGCGTGTTCACTTGGATCTTTTCCTAGAACATCCAGGATAATCTGTACGTCACACTTCAATGCGTCCAGATCAACTGAAAAATAAATCACACAAAACACGTTTTTTTTTTTTCTCAGAAAAATAAAGAAATTTGTTTCCCTAGTTTTAGAAAAAGGTAACTTAAAGACAGTGATTCTACCCAAGCAACCAGTGCAGACGAAGATCAGCCTGAACATCCGTGCCAACTGCTCATGGCCTGCACTAATTGCTATTCAGTAAGTTCTTATTATTTTTCATCATAACTGATGAATGATTTTGTTCAAATTTGAAAATGTCCATTTAAGGTTATCTATCATGGTCTTTCATGATGTAATTCTTTAATACAATGTTCCTTATTAATGTTGTTTGTAGTTCATTGTCACTTTTAAGAAACTTGAAACTTGAAATTCATTCCTTATGTATGCCTGTGTTCAGCGTTCTGGAAAATAATTGTCGACAATAATGTTAGTAACTGACTGCTTTGTTTGCGAATGAATATATATCATAAACAACGATTGTTATCAGTTCTATCAAATAATACTGGGCGAGTTCCGTTGTAGTCGGACTAGACATTGACCGAACTGTCTTTTGTTTAACTAAAGTGACGTCATTCGTTTACTGACGTCTGATCAGTCTGAAACGGACATTGTTTTTGAATTAGCTTGATTTTCCGCCATGTTGCAAACCATAACATAAGCAAAATATGAATATGTATACTTACAAAGAGAACTAACGTTAAATCCACTAAACAGCCATCGTTTCTCTTCTAAAACGACAACAAATAAATGCAATCAACATATAACGCCAGTAAGAAATTAAGTAACATATATAAAACAAATACATATCACAACATTTATTCATTGATCATAATTTCACATTTCCGTGATGATTCGTCAAAGAATTACTTAGTAATCTGTGAGGTGTTTCGAATGACAAAATGACGCCAAATATTATTATATAAGATCGTCTATTTTAATAGGCAAAAACATTACGAATAGCAATCTACTTGTTGCACCAAATAAACAGTATTGTAGTGGACAAAGACACATTATAGTTAAGGTATACATATATGGAATGTAAAAATGATTATTTATTTTTTCACAAATGTATAAAAAAAGTTTACCTTGAGCGACAGGCGCCGAAAATACTACCGGAAGTAGACAAAGAGCCAATAAAAACATCCTGAAATTCCAGTAATTTGTAATGATGAAAGATAAGATCATAAATACATTTTTCTTTATGCAGTTTGAAAAAAATCCTTTAACTCAAATGTGAAATAAGGTTAATCAACATATTTTATAAAAGTTAATTTCTAGTCAACTTGTTCCTGAAGTAAGAATAACTGGTGTCATAATTAGATACATGCTAGTTTTGGATGTCATCTCTTATAAAATAACTAATTTGTTTAAATTGATCGAACTTAAAACAGTTTTTTGAAAAAGTTGAAAAAATAAGAAAAGTTCTAACCCGGCAATGTGTTTGTTATTGTGACGGCAATTACAAAATGAATTGTTAACTAAATACAATTGCAAATGTAACTTTTTTGTGTATTTTTCCTACATTTAGCATTGGTGATAACCTTATAACATACAAACACGATTAGTAGTCTGGGAAAATCACCACATTTGAGATGAGTACACTCGACTGTCTATTAGGACATACAGACTTATTTATAAGGTGTCTACATAGACAATGGTTTGCAAGGAGGTGACCAATATTTGAAGGAGCAAGAATTCAATATTTTTACACAACATCAACATAATGTCGGGAATGATGTCATTAATATATATGCATAGATTTGTTTACCCAAGATGTTCAAATATGTGTGTAATTGTATAAAAATACAACAAAAAGGGAAACGATAGAAAAGTGAAATAAACCCGAATAAAAAGTACTTATTGTACATGTTAGAATTTGCTTGAGTATTTTGTCCGCTTTTAAGATTTGCAGACGACTTTTATCGTCCCTTGTGTAAAATAATTTGAGCCGTGTCACGACAAAACTAACATAGTGGATTTGCGACCAGCATGGATCCAGACCAGCCTGCGCATCCGCGCAGTCTAATCAGGATCCATGCTGTTCACTTACAAACCCTAATACAAATAGAAATCTAATAGCGAACAGCATGGATCCTGATCATACTGCGCGGATGCGCAGGCTGGTCTGGATTCATGCTGGTCGCAAACGCACTATGTTGGTTTTGTCGTGACGCGGCTAAAATTATGTGTAGTTCTACTTTTGCCTGTCAGTACATATTTGAATGTATGTCCACTGTCCGGAATGACTTTATAAGGTTTCCAAAGCACCTGATTATACTGAAAATGATTTTGTCTACCTTCCATAAATTGGTAAATTCTTCTTTTGTATTTTGTAAGGAATTAATTGACACTGGTGCTCATTCGGATTTCACAAGACTTCTAAAAAAACTTCAAGACTTAATGTCGTAAAAGATTCAGATTCTCGACCCCTCTAACTGCGCATGTTTAATTTTGGGTTCGAGTTTCCTACGCTTGCCAGATACTTCCTTCGGGAACTGCTCGTGTATAAGTACCATTAGATAGATCGTTTGCTATACATTCATTTTCAAAATCTATGGTAATAGGAACAAGACAAAAAGTAAATATCAGAAAATTGTATCTTAAGATAAATGAAATAGTTCTTGAAAATGTAACTGATAAAAAAAAGTCCTGGGTATTTGCATAGATAACAACTTAAAATGGCACTTGCAAATTGACAACGGTTGTAAAAAAATTAATGGAAAAATTGCCTTATTGAAAACAATATCGTTTTTTTGCACTTTGAATGAAATTATTGTTTTACAATGCATATAAATTGCCTATTATGGGCTATTGTTGTATTATATGGGGTAAAGGAAACAAAAAAATACATAAATAATGTTTGTACATTACAAAAACGAATTGCTAAAATCATTTTACAGCAACCACAAAGATCTCCGTCAATGAAGCTATTCGAAGCTCTTAACTGGTTATCGTTCCCTGACAGATGTAAATACCACACGGCAGTGCTTGTTTTTAAAACTTAAAATAACATGGCACCGACTTATATGACAGAACTGTTGACTTTATCCGACAACACAATATATAACTTAAGATCTAGGTCACGAAAAGATATTGTATCATGGACAAGACCTAAAACAAATTATATTAAAGACACATTTTCTTATTATGGCATGAACATTTGGAACAACATACCTTTAAATATTCGTAATGTTAATAACCTTAAATGTTTAAAAGAAAAATACAAATCATATCTTGATGTTCATATGAATGAGTGAATGAATGAATGAATGAATAAATGAACAAACGAATGAACGATCGAACGAATGATGCAATATACGTATATGTTTAAACAAATTGTTGAGTGTTTGTCGAAAGTATATGTGTTGTCTTATGCTAAAAATTACATATTATACATTCATTTTTCTACCTATGCATGTCATTTTCTTATTGTTGTTGTTTTTCTGTTTCAGAAGGTCACATTGGAAATAAGATATATATGATTGCTATATTGTAGAGATCTATGTTCTTAACGTGTAACCTTTTTTTATAGAATGGTTTCTACAATTTATTATGTAATTTTAATAGAATTCATATATAGATATAAAGTCTACATTAAAGTTATATCATGAGAGCTATTTCCGGGACAATTTCAAACATCTATATTGTTAGTTTTCTATCAATTAAGCAACAAGTATTGCCACTTTTGTAAATAATAATTATTCTAGTAAATATGGAACTACACAAATCAGGATAATACTTAAGTCTACTTTTAAAGAATCACTTTTAAATTTTGCACGAGTAGGAATTTTTAAATAAATTGTTTAGTTTTATTCAGATAAAATTCATGCTTTCAGTTTCGCTGTTTTTGACATACGCAGAATGCGCATGCACAAACGGCTTATTCCGTTTCTAAGGAAATATCGTTATGTAAAACTGTCTTTTGAGGAAAACTTTGATTTACTGCCAAAGTACAATTAAGGATCGACCATGGCAAACGAAAAGCAAGATTTCTGTCCAAAGTACATGTACAAAGAAAGTACTCATTTGGGTAGACCTTATGCTGAGTTTGCCGTGTGTCCCTCTCACAATCCCAGTTTTCGAACATATTTACGATAATGCATGAGGTCATGCCCAATCAGTAGAACGGCACCTGTTGTTTCACAGTGCCACATCGAGTCTTCTGTTCTCGACGGATAATACAAAATGTTTGATACCAGTCCGATTAGTCGGTTATAAGCACAATTCATTTTGTTTTGTGAATAGACATGCTTAATAAACATTATATTTAATAAATAATTACAGCCAGTATATCTATTAATGGTTGTGGAGAATATGTATATTTGAATGATACTAAAGTTTAAAACCACTCAAAATTCTGTATTTTTATCCAAATTTGACATGAAGTCAGGATGTATGTTTGTAGACATTTGGCATACATCTTGGTCTGGTTATAGCGTGTAGAGGACACAGCTGCGACACTATAGGTCACTTTTGACGTAAAATAGACTGATATAGCTTGTGATAATTTTTATATAATCAAATTTTCCACAATGGTTCTGCATTGTTTACCATGTCCGACAATTATATAGTACCTTCATTAAAGTACTCTTTCGTCTATGCTCCCATGCAACATTAACATTGGTCAAAATTTATTAAATTGGAGCCTTTATAAATGCAGCCCACGAGGATGTATCATGATGTGTTGAAATAACTTTGACCTCTTAACGATATTATCAGCAAAGTCAAATTTAAAATTCACTTAACTTTATAATTAACAAGACATGGAGGACAATATGTCATGGTTATGTCTAAAAACTAATCAGGGGTAATAAAGGGAATCATACACCTTTTTTATATATCTGAACCCTATACTCTACAATTTTAATTCTATATTACAAGAAACATTGTAATTTGTATTTCATGCTTTAATAGTTAACAAACTATAGTGCAATTGCTCTTTTTTGTCAAAGAACTGTTTGTAAAAATAGCCGTAATAGTCATTAAAAAACTAAACGTTTGACCAGTTTGCTTTATCTTTGATATTTAAGGAACATCACCACTGAGGTCGAACAGCAAATAGTCTTTATACAAAATTCTTCATACATCAAACGGGGCACTTAAAATTGAAAAAATATATAAACAATAATGAAGAACTTAATATAGAATTAAATTGATAATCAATTTTATGTGATTCTTAGTTCGTTTTTAAACTGCTTTTTTCGTTTTAGGCCATTTTACACAACTTGACAAAAGAAAAAATGAATTGAATAAATATAAGAAGAGAATGACACAAGTTTCTGATCTGGTTATCATGAAATGGTACACAAGTCTAGCACTAGGACTGCTAATTCCTTTTATCAATTTCTACTAAATATCACATTCTTTATTTATACATGTATATATTAGCTAAATGGAAACAAATCAGGCATGATCTTTAGTGTCAAAGCAGTTTTAATTGTTTTTTTCTATCGGTAGTTCTAATAAAAAATACAATAGACTAACAAATAAGTTTAACAATATTTTATTAATATTAGATGACAAATAAGAAACTTATTTTCCAATTGGCAGAGTAAGACCACCGCATGGCTGTGTTTGATCTCCAGGCTTTGGTGTCTCGTGGAAGTAATGTGCCAAATTCTGGATACTATAAATAGAATAAGGGATACAAATATGTGAGTTTTGAATACAACATAAGACGGTTATAGGGATCTCAGAGACACACAATAAAAGCGATTATATTTGTTGTTGGTTTTGTCTTGGGTCTTTTATATCCTTGTTGTCGATAGATCGCCGGGTTTCCGACATATTTCTGCATTACTTCAACCATAAACTAAAATGTTTACACAATTGTATTTTACATATTTCAAAATCAGGATGCAGCTAGCATAATAGCCAACTTTCTCCTGAAATGGCATATAATGAACAATCTTTCTAAGATGAGTGAGAATTCATTGGTATTAAAAACTATATTTTACAAGAAATATTTAAAGAATTAGAAAAGTTGAAGTGTATTTTCAGGTTGTATTTATCAAAGATAAAAGAAGAAATACTCACGCATGGCAGATGAGTGGGCATCCGTAGTTAAGGACGTTACCGTCTTGCACCAGTTTGTGGCATTCTCCCTCACATGCAGCTTCCGTTGGGTCACTTCCGACAACGTCAAGGATGATTTGTACGTCGCATTTCAGGGAGTCAAGGTCAACTGATTAGGAAATCATATGAATGATTTAAAAATTTATGTTATCTATCTTTCCAAAGCTGGTACAAATGTACAATGTAATTATTCTTTATTCCACAAGCGTTTGTTATATGCATTTAAAAATCTTTAATCTTTTAGCAGATATTTAATGTTGTTCCTGGCCACATAATCGCTTATTAGTTCTTTACACACGTTGAGTGACGCATTATACCGAGTTTATTACGGACGTCTTTCTTTAATGCCGCATATCCTCAGATTCATGTTAATAACTTAATATTCGTGAAATTTAAAGTAGATAGACAATTTATTTCTGTCAATGTATATGACAAATTAAAACGAATTAATAAGAAAAAAAGTGTGATAAGTAAACAAGAATAGAATATTTAATGTATTCCCGTGCGCTTATTTTACGACGGAATCACCTGTTACATGTCAAAATAGAATTTGTTATTGCCCTTAATTAAAATACTGTTGTTAACATTATCGTATAAGCCCTAATATTATTTAGAATTGTGACCAATCGAAATAACCGCCTCCGTGATCGAGGGGTTAGAGTCGATGACTTCTAATCCAGTTACCTCTCTGGCGCGGGTTCGATCCCCGGGAGACGCTTTGGTAGTTTAGCGCGGAGAAAGGTAGTCTAGTACTGGTGTAACTCTCCAGGAACGATGGTTAGGAAACTACCCGCCTATATGCCTGAAATACTGCTGGGAAAATGCGTAAAATGAAACAAACAAACAAAACCAATCGAAATGTTATACAGAATCAGAGCCCTTAGTCAATAGCATTATACTTACACAAAGAGTCGACTTGGAGTGAGCCAAAAATGAATCTCTTAGAGTCTGAAACAAGACAGATTGTTGTATAGTGTTGTATAGCAACATTGACTCGCCTCTATTAATGAAATATAGTGAAATAACACACACCAGGCAGTTAGCCAAAAACATAATTATAAACATAATGTAAAGGAAAATGACTCTCTTCAACTGATAAATCGAGTTATTTGTAAAAGTATAAAGACAAACAATGTCTTTGTACATTTATTACTATTTATTTGTTTGTAATTATATCTAATTGTCAAACGGACATTTCCCTTTTTATCAATACATTTGGTACTATACTCAATAATATTATTCAAATAATAAGAAGATGTTATATTTATATATCCATGTATAAAACAATGAAAACCTCATACCTTGGGGAGCGGCCAGTACCACTGGAAGGAGGCACAACAATAACAATTTCATCTTGATTTCTGTATCTGAAATGTAAACATGTTTGAATTTACGACAGTATACACAAGTGCACTTATATGCCTGCCTCTATAAATATCTTCCTATCACACCATGTAATCATTCTAGTACAAACTTTATAAAACCCAGGACGTTTTGTTTGTCCAGCATTTATAGAAATTGTCTTATTAAGACCAAATGTTATTCAAATATATTTTCATTGCATTGAAATTGATACATACTAAAATTCCGACGGTATTAAATATATAGAAACATTCAGAGTAAGGAATACTTTGTTCTTTGAAATTTGTAGCACTGACTTTTTATATAAAAAAGCAATTTTCGAAGTTAAAGTCACTAAAAGCAATGAAAGAAATATTAACACAATTTTAAACGTCTTTGAAGGTTTTAAAATACAGTATCAATTTCAATACACACCGTTCTGTCAGTCAAGTCCAATTTCAAATACTGGCCAAAGTCATCGACGGTGCCCTTTTATCTATGCTCACTGGTGTGCCGATGGTCAAGCTTGGTCAATTTTAGTGGTAGTCACGATCTTGTATGGGAATAAACCATGCTTTGACCAAATGGACTTCCTGAATTATTATCGGGTGTTATGTACATATTATTTCAATTACCAATATTAATATAATCTGGTATTTTGTGAATTATACTACAGTTTTTTTAATAATACTAATTTGATAAATCACGTTATGAAAAGTTTTAAGTGAAATGACAACGTGATGATGTCATCATCTTCCTGGGGCGCATATTAGATCACTATAAACTGTTCAATTCTGTATCTAAAAATGTGATGATACCTTTTCATTTCTAGTGCAAACTTTATAATAAAAACGTCATGAGTTGAGAGTTAAATCTATGAACTCTATCAGTAAAAATGACAAAATATCTGAAGTATATAGAATGAAAACAAAATAAAAAAAAAAATGATAACAATTATAATTGTAGAACTTTTATCACAATATCAAAATTCAATTTTATTTAATTTCACCTTTGTTTGCTCGTTATGGCATACCCATTCTTTTACTTGGGGAACGAATAACGGATTTTTTATTGAATAATGCACAAGAAGACTTGTTGATAAAAGTTGTATGAATACACCTGCAGATGTTATTATATTCTTAATTGTATCATTTTAATAAGTGCATATTGATTATTGTTATAGCTAGCTTGTGGTCGTGAATGCTGGCATGTCCAGTGATTAGATACTGCCGCTGATGAACAGGATCTTTCAAATCGAGCCTGCAACATGTTTCAATTTCGCCCTGATTGGCCATCTTTCAGATCCTAACATTTTGATTGAGACTGTATTCGAAAATACCTTAAATGTACATTATGTCTTGTACATTAAAGTACAGACATAAAATATGAGGACTAGAGTTAACAAGGGAGATCAATTTTCACAGAACGCCGCTCCTCACTATATTCTATCGCACATACCATTTCATATCAAAATGTTCTCAAGTTATTGGAATATTTTAATAAGTAACACTTAATGTATTTAATATATATACCGCATTATATCATGATTTAAGCGTAAAGTGCTTCTCAATATTCTTCACATGTCTTTAAAGTACTTATTAACTACAATGCTTAATGAGTATATTTTGCCCTTTGTATAGAGATAATAGTTACCAGATTACATAGCTGTCGATTGTATTTGATCAAATTAAAATTGAACAAGGAATATATATCATAGAAACGATAGTCACAGTTATATTTGTTAAACCGTGCTCCAACAATTTCTCTTTAAAGGACTATTATAATTATTTATGAATGTGTACTGTCCTACAAAAATATATGGCTAATGCAGACAAGACAATGTAAAACAAAGAGAATATAAATGAAAATAATATAAAAAATAAAAGGCTCTAAGCGGAAATGTGTCTGTGCGTGCGTACGTGCGTGTGTGTGTGTGGTGGGGTGGCACATTTTGGAAAAGCATAATTACATTACCAAATAAGGGTGTAACCCGTTTATTGAGTACATCACAGCACTTCTTTTGTCTTAAAGTTTGAATGATCTTGACCTGTGAAACAAATTATCTCTCCATCAAAGCTGTTATATGTACACCTGTTATCTTTCCCAATATAAACTAAAATCGTGACTGACAACAATTCCACTTATCCTAGATGTAATTTTATATAAATCTTACCATTAGTCGATTCAATTCTAGTTTGTTTAAAAAAAACTTACGAAGTATTTTTCCTATTTGCTTTATCGAATTCCTCTTTTAGCCTTGTATTTTGCTGTTTTTGTCTTTATATATACATTTTTTTTTCAATGAAATGTGCTAATGATGCACTTATTGCGCATAACGCCCCACCAAAAGTAAAGACTATCGCCATCGCAGTATTTAAATAATGACCAACACTTTTGTTGACAGCATTGGTTAAGCATGGTTAAAAGTGTGAGCTCCTATACAGATTGATACAATTGTTAAGAAACGCTGACAAGACCAGCTTACAAGTGGCAATGGATTATTGGTCCTCATCTCATGTGCAATGTTTTAGGTACAAGTATATATTTGTTCCCAACCTCTAATTCTCTTTTAAACATGTGTGTGTGTGTGTTTGGTGATTAACTTGTGCAGTTGAATATGAATTTTGACTGATTATTTTCAATTTGTGAATGCTTCCACTTTACACTATGTTTTGTATTTATTCCATGTGTTGAAAGCTATGTATGTGACTAGATGTTTTAAAAAGTGCGTTCTTTGACCGTCTCTCCTCCCTGTAAACGTCTTCTTTAAGGTTAACTCTATGCTGACAAGCCATCATATTGACATGTTATTAATGACGTCATGTTGCAAAGTACCCTCTCGCGTTGGCGGTTTTGGTTTGTATCGCTATTTACCGAGTCATCTTTAATTTGATTCACCTTTTTGGTATAACATCACCATGACTTAACATATATACTTCAATTACAAATGGAACATTCACAAAGTAGTTCCTTTAAGTAATGTCATGAGCTTCTCTATTTGGACTTCAAGGAATGTATCTAAATATAGAAAAAAATGATGTTTTTATCAGTTACACAACGTATAAACCTTGTGAAATCGTGTCAATTGTACTGATATGAACATTGTTGAAAGTTTTATATTTAGTAATATATAAAATGGAAAAAAGTAAATAACTCATATAACTGATATTTCAAAGACTATAAGCATCAAAGTTAAACAATTGTAAGGCTTTTTTTTTCCATTTTTTACAACTTGCTGATGTATCTGTGAAGATGTTTAATAAGGCCCTTACATCAGTACAGGTTTGACTTGTTTGGACAGACATGACATTCCAAATTCTTTGAAAAGGACCATTTTACGGGCATATATGTTAATTGTAAATGCTTATACAATAAAAGAGATGGCCTGCAAATGCCTATACGTTCCTTTAAATACTTGTTATCCTTTAAGTTTATCTTAAAAAACTCCCAGTGAACCTTCTAATTCGTCAAATACATGTATAAGAGAGTATGTGAGCAGTATTACCATTGATTTCTCTCTCAACTGATATTGTTCCAACCAGATATATATCACAATGCATTTTTTTGTGTTTAAGTATCATTATATATGTTTAATATTATATGATTTTAATAGTTAAGTCTAGTTAGGGAATTTCGTATAACTAAAATTCATAGTACAAGACAAAAAGTCACGCCACTTTCTTTAAACTACGCATAACTATAGTCGCTTATCATGCAATAAGTTAAGGTCATTTAAGGTTGCCGACTTCACTAAAATAGTGTAAATCAAAACCTGTTGTTGTCATTACGAATTTGGTTACACAAACAGGTAAGATTTAAAATGCTTACAAAATAATACATTTCAAAGTAAAGCGGGTGACATGCGAAAACACGAAAAGTTCTACGACAAAAGGATCATTTTGTCGTAGGTTTTGCCTTTCGCTCCACGGGGCGCCAGACGAAAACACGGCAGTGTGACAACTTTTTCGTGGAGCGAAAATGCGACATAGCACACATCAGTCACCATAAAAACGTGCTTATTTCTAAAACGACATTTGATGAGCATGAAACATATATAGCTTTAACAGGATATCTAATATCAACGAAGGAACTCCACAGAGGAGCATTTGCCAAAATTTGAATTTCTTATAGCATAAAGCAACATATTCGGCTTGTTAGCATATTTACAAAAGTCTCTAGAATATCATTGTAAATAAACATATTTGATTTTGCAAGGGCCTTTTCTTTTTATGTTGTTTTATTAAAATTGGTGTACGTTATTGTTACGTAAAGAATACAAAATGGATTATGAACCAAAATTGAAATAAAATCGTTTTCGACAAAAAACATAAAACTAAAAAAAAGTTTGGCTTAATTTCACGGAATAAGAAGATAGCAAAGACTTAATAAAACTTCATTGTTTGGTATATACCAGGTTACAATAATCTATCATTTTTCAAACGACACACTAATTTGAATGTATTTGTTTTATGTTACCATGACAACAGTACAATATGAAGCTCCTCCTCGTTTGTCTGCTCCTCCCAGCTGTCCTTGCCGCTCCTTCAGGTAAGAAAATAGATCGCCATTCATATTGAATCTATCGAAAGCCTTTTTACTTATTTTTTTTCGTGTAAATTTACCCTGTAATTACTCAACAAATATCTCGTATTTTTATATTCTAATATATGCTAATAATGTATTAAAATGCCGCTACCTTGATTTTATGTTACTGTCATATATGTAAAATAATTCCAATTGATTTTAAAGCTTTGCTGACTATTAGGGTTATTGACAGTCCGTCGTCCACCTACAATTATTTTAAAAGCATCTGCACTGTAACCACTTGGCCAAATTTAGGATACTGTACTTAAGTTGTTCGAAAAGTTCCTGTCAATTGCTGAATCATAGACGCTAAAATAGAACGAAAAAAAATCAGCAATCTTTAATATATTTTCAAAGCTTATATCGTTTACATTTGGATTGTAGCATCTTTTTTATAACACTGTGTCAAAATTGGCTTGCGCTGGGAGTATGAGTATTAGATAGGAAATCTTTAAAAGATTTCATTTGTAAAACTTCAAGACCTGGAGTTTTAGCATTGTGAACCAGTTCTTTGAAATATCCTCTTAAAAAACAATGCTAAAAAGCATTGTTGTTATGTTTTAAAATATCGCCTAGTTACATTCTTTTTAGTTTGGTAAAATGCAATGTATCTTATATGAGCGATTTTGGACCATCGTGGCTTTCTTGTTTAATATTTAAATATGTACCCATTTTTATCTATTTACAGATGAAAGAAGATTCTTATTCGGCCCTTTTCAAATTGAAAATCTTTGTAAGTATTTGATAAAGGGTTCTTTTGTCATGTTCTTGTACATAATATGGATTTTCTTTCTGTTTGTTGATGATCATGACATACAGTTTACACTCTAGATTATTGCATATTGTATTGTATTTTATTGTAATATATAGCAAATAATACACAGGTATATAAATACCTGGAACAGCCTCCCCCCCATGATAGTTGTTTATCTTGAATGCATCGTTGAATTTCTTTATTGGTCATCCTCTACCAGATAAGCTGGAAAGTCGCCACATGACATTTACTTTGTTGGTGTAAAACATAGAAAATATAGCAAAATATGCAAAGATTTATATAAAAAACACTCAAACAGTTTTCTTAATGTGATTGTAACTTAAAAGCATCGGTGTATTTGTTATACGTCTTCCCGGAAAGTCGCCATATCACCTCTGTTGTGTTGGTGCGACATAAAACCCAACAAAAAGTATATCTTTATCTTTGTTTACATAAAAAAAAATAACTTTACTTCAGTTGATCTTGAATCCTTGAAATGTGATGTACAAATCATGCTTGACGCCGTTGGTGACGATCCAACAGAAGTAGCATGCGAAGGTGAATGTCATAATCTATTAGCAGAAGGCAATGTTATGAACTTCGGATGTCCACTAGTGTGCCATGCGTAAGTCTTCCATATAATGTTTTACATCTTGTTTGTAGCCAAAAAAGTAAGTTTTATAATTTAAAATCTTATTGGGGTATTGTTTATTTCAACACAAATTTGTTGTTTCTTTCAATGTGCCGATTTGCAATATCAGTATTGTATCAGTAATATATCAATATTGATTTAAATAGAAAAAAATAATGTAACGTGATTAACTTTGATGTCGCGAAGATAAAGTGTACATATATTCAAAACAATTTTCTTTTTCTGGTTCAGTGTGTAACAATAGACAATTCTAAATATACATGTATAATTTCAGATTCCAGAACCTAGCTCACTATTTCCACGAGACACCTAAACCCGGAGAGCAACACGCACACTGTGGCGGACTTTCACTTTCAACTACCAAGGCTGCATAAATAAAACAAAACAATTCAATGATATAAAATCTAAGTTAATAAATATATCATTTTAATAGATCAAAAATGTTCTTTTCATTTTATTCTGACAAATAACATGAGGGATTAGAATTTTGTTGTATTTAATGTTTGGTATAAAAATTATATCAAAAAGAAAATCCCCTTGCTTGACATTTAAAACATTTAACTTTACCTACTGAACGTGCTTATTAAATTTGATCTGCTTTGAATTTGGTACAGTCCATACATAAATAAAAGGAATAAAATATGAAAATATAAATAAGTTACCAACAGTACAGACCCTTGTCAGATGAGCAGGGTCGCATTCTCTCTTTACTGTTGACACAATTTTGTCACCTTTGGTTCCAACGGGTCATAAGTCAACCAAAAGTATTTGGCCCAACCAGCTTTTTGTTAACTAAGTTAATTAACATTCCTGAAAGAAACAATATTTTGTATCAACACAAAGTTTTGAAGACTTTCCACAATACACCTAAGGTCAGTCGGTCCCATAACTTGGCTCAAGTTTCATCATTGTAGTTGTGGAATTTTGTCTAACGTAAAACCAAAGTCAACACGTGCCCCGTACCTTTGGTGCAGAAATGAAACATCATCCTGATAGCAATTAGGGAATCAATATTTAATATTGATAAGTTTCGAACACATTTGTCTCATTTCCAATTGTCACAAATATAAATGTTTACGAGCACATCGGTCACATTTCGTGAGACAAATGTGCTCCTACAAAGCATAGCAAAATGAATAGCAAGAGTGACTAGTTGAGCGCTAATAGAACTATAAATGTGGCACTTTATACATGTATCAGACATTATCAACAACAAAAAACAACAATTAACATACATTATTTCTTTCTTCTGTATTAATTTGCAACATATTAAGTTTTAACAGATCGTTTTTAAGAATTCCGAAAAAAAGAATGTTATATACGCTTCAAATTTGTGTGAAAACGAAATGGGTCATCGTAAAAAGTGCACAATAAGGTATTTTAAGAAAGCATTTAATTTGATAAAGATAGATAGATACTTTATTTCCTTCAATTTACACGACGAGTCGAACATATACACAAACATATAATTATGAAATTAACAAAACAGTTTAAACAGCTAGATACAATGTAGTGAAATGTACAACTGTAAACATGTAATGATATCAATTTACAGAAAACAGCAATCCAGAAATCAATATTTACAATATTTCTTATTTCTTATTAATATGCTGACAATATTACATTTCTTAAAGCAGCATGCCTCTAGATTCGTGCTAATCCTCGTGCACATTTTGAAAAAAATAAAAGTATAGTTATATTATGAGGTGAACAAATGAAGTAATTTACATATTGCACACGACAGTTACAATATGTATAGTATAGAAGGGTATATCTGCCGTCATTTCTCAATTATTTGCTTATATTGTTTTCAATTATTGATACAATGTCAAGTTCCTGTGCTTCTAGTTAACTAGCAAGAATGGATCGCTGTAAATAAATAAAAACCAATAATTCTCTGCTATATTTTTTTTTTTTTTTTTTGGGGGGGGGGGGGGTAATACCGGTATCTAGCAAGTTGGAACAACCTTATACTGAATACTAAACGGAATAAGTACATATATACAAATCGTTTCAACTATATACATGTAGTTAAGTTGGCATGTTTACAAGTACTATGACTACTGCATACTACTCGGATAAAATAATATTATTAACGGTATATTTATTATATCATTAATTATTATAACAAAACTACCTTAAACCTTGCAAATTTAAAAACTACTAAACGTTATGCCGGGAGAACAACTCAATATCGTTAAAAATATTTCAATGCTTTAAAACATAAGAAAACATTTGGAGATAGAACTGTCCTTGTACTTTATAGAATTTTTATATGTTTTTATAACTTTAACCATTCAAATTCCTTCCAAAAGTATGAAATAGTAGTAATTATGTTGTGTTTGTGTTTTTAAGAAATAGCACGTTTTAGTGACAGTTTTGTAAAAAAATAGGGGAAAGTAATAGCGAATTTATTAATACAACCAAACAAATAGACCAGAATTAACCATTCAATTGAATTCATTTCATGCTGTTATTTTATTTTCATAACATATGAGCCGCGTCACGACAAAACCAACATAATGGGTTTGCGGCCAGCATAGATCCAGACCAGCCTGCGCATCCGCTCTCTGATCAGGATCCATGATGTGCGCTTACAGACCCTATAACAAGTAGAGAAACTGACAGCGAACAGCATGGCCCCTGATCAGACTGTGCGGAGGCGCAGGCTGGTCTGGGTCCATGCTGGTCGCAAGACCACTATATTGGTTTTGTCGTGACGCAGCTTTTATTTCACTAGAAGCATGTTGCTTTTTTTGGTCATACTTATATACTATTAATTCTAGACTGTATTGACTGTAATATTAACAGTTAGTCTGATAGCATTAGTTTTAGAAATAATAATAATTATAAGAAACTTTTCAAAATATATTTACCTTCCTGGTCGTTCTCGTACCGGACTGATTAATACATTGCTATAAGAAATAATACTGAACTTGTATTAGCCTGGTAAGTCTGACCTTAGGAGTAATGTTAAAATTTTAATGACCAAATGTGTGTTTTCTCCAAGCACGTGCATCAATTAGTACAGTAAATCAATAGTAATATTACCAAGTACAATAATTAAATTATTTATAATTGTCAGCTATTTTAAGAAATAGGTCAAATTTACTTTGTACGTTTGTTGGGAGTGATGATTAAAATAAATGCAGGTTTTTTGTTAAAGTATATTAATGATAATAATTGTTAAAATTATTTGTAAAGTGTATCTATACAGTTGTCTCACTTTGTTATTTTCTATGTTGAATTTGCTGACATACTTTACATATTAGCTCCTTATCATTGAGACATTGTTAATTTTATTATATTGTAACTTGAAATATGTGTATAAGATGGAAATAAACTTTTCTTCTTTTCTTCTAATTCTTCTTTAAAAATAACATTACATAGATGTATTGTTTGATTTTATCAATCTGTCATACTGCATAATTGCATACTATTTTAATACACACTATATATTTATCTTCGATAGATTTTCAGTAACTTTCGTAAGATGTAGGCAGTAAGCTATTTAATTTAATTTGTGACCATGACATGTTTATACTGAGAGTTATAGCACATTCGGGTTAACTACGGTTTTATAATTTCTAAATAGCCTACGTGTTGTAAGATCGAGACCGCGTAGGTTCATGTTTTTTATTCTTATTATTCATATTTTAAACATTACTATAGCTTAATTGCTGTTTATCCCAAACTCTAGCCCACCACAGATATTTAAGATATTAGTGAGTAAGTAAAGTTTTTAGGACAATTAAGAAAAACCCAAATTGGTCTAGATTTGGGAACCTTGTGCAAAGTAAATTGTAAAAGGTAGATAGATACTTTCAGACATACATGACATCTACTGTGCAACGTAAATCCTTACCAAAACATAAAATATGAGAGAGTAAAGATCAACAAGGGACAACTATTTTACTCTTGATTTGGCTCTCAGTGTAGCTTTAACCGTTGCTCTTATAAGGATAAAGCTGTACGGGAACTGAGCAACAACTTCCCACAATATACATGATTTATAACCATCTGAAAGGCGCGAAGTGGCTCCGGAAAGAAGCGGATAAAGTTTATAGTAAAGGATATATCATTTCAATGTTAACGAACTGTTTTCAGGCATAATAAAGTTCATTGTACAGGACAAGGAGTTATGCCACGTGATTTGAATTACGTATAACTAACTATAGGCGCTTATCATACGACAAATAAAGGTCAATTTAATAAGGTTGTCGCCTTTACAAAAAGTCTGATGAAAACCTCCTGTTCCCATTACGACTTTCGTGACACAACCAGGTAAGACTTAAAAAAAAACTTACAAAATATTACATTTCAAAGTAAAATTAATATCTTGAACGTACTAATTTATAACAAAATAAACAACAACAAAACAAACAAACAAACAAAAAACATTGATGAACATGATATATTATTTGCAACAGTTTCATTAAAGGAACTCCTCTGAGGTCCAAATGCCAAAATTTGAACTTCTTACATAGAACAAATAGGGCATCTAAATAAAAAATATGCAAAAGTTGACAGAAATTTATTATATACTTTTAACTGACATTTTCAATATTATTGATGAAATAAAATGCGTATTTACAGATTTCGTATTTTCTCTGTAAAACATTATATTTCACTGCAGTGAAACATATTTTCAGTACTTTCAATAGTGTCTTGCCGAACTACTTTTTTTTCTAATGCAGACATAAAGGGGATTTTTTAGAATTGTAAAGTCAAAGAGGAGAAAAGTATATAATAAACAGGAAATTTAAGTTTTTTCTATAAATGCGGGATTTATTTTATGTCATGGTTTGAAAGTTGCCATATTTGACTTTTGGCTACCGCCTCTCACGAAATATTTATTTTTATATAAACTCTGTACTTTTAGAAAAAAAAACTTGAATTAGAAATTTGAAATAGAAAGAAAGAAAAAATTAGAGAAAGAAAGAAAAATGAATGAAAGAAAGAATAAAAGAAAGAAACAAATCAAGACAGAAACAAAGAAAGAAAAAAATAAAGAAAGAAAGAAAGAAAGAAAGAATAATAAAAGAAAGAAAGAAAGAAAGAAAGAAAGAAAGAAAGAAAGAAAAAGAAAGAAAGAAAGAAAGAAAGAAAAAAATCAAGACAGAAACAAAGAAACAAAGAAAGAAAAAAATAAAGAAAGAAATATAAAAAAATAAGTTTCACAATGAGTTATATCGATTGTATATCACTCTTAAAATCGTTGTAGCTTAGTTACAAAAAAGCTACACTATTGTAAATAATATATTTGATTTTGCAAGGGTCTTCTCTTTTCTCGTTACGGAATCTAAAATTGTTGTGAAATGTTAATTAATATCAATTTCGATATAATTAATGTATAATATACATACTGGCTGAAAAAAAAAGATTTTAAAATTATTGGTTTACACCGGATAACTCTTTTCTCCTGTTCTGATTGTTTAGTCGAGTCGTTCATAATAATAATATATATTTGTTTATGTTACCATGACAACAGTACAATATGAAGCTCCTCCTCGTCTGTCTGCTGCTCCCAGCTGTCTTTGCCGCTCCTTCAGGTAAGAAAATAGATAGTCATACATAAAACAACATTTCGAAAACCGATTTTTTTCATATATTTGTACAAAATTTGATATGAAGGAAAAGCTTTAAAAAATAATCCTCTCTCAAACCACTATGTATTTTTTCATAATTGCAAAGCCTAGTGATTAGATAGTTGGTGTATAGCAATAAATAGTATACATCGACAAAGTCTATCATGGCTCTGGAGTCTAAGATGGCCTCGGCCTGAGGGTCTATTCTACATTTAGACATATATATGAAACCCCCTTTCATTGGCCAAAATTAGAATACTGTATTTAAGTTGTTCGAAAGGTTCCTGTCCATTACTGGATTATAGACTCTTAAATATAACGAAAAAAATCAGCAATCTTTAATATATTTTCAAAGCATAGATCTTATACATTTGGATTGTAGCATCTTTTTTAATATCACTGTGTCAAAATTTGCTTGGAAGGGGGGGGGGGTGGGGGTGGTAAGTCGACTTTATATAGTATTAGATAGGAAATCTTTAAAGATTTCATTTGTAAAACTTCAAAGACTAGAGTTTAGATATTTGGCATGTAGAACTATGAACCACTTCTTTGAAATATCCTCTTGAAACACAATGCTAAGAGCATTGTTGTTGTGTTTTAAAATATCGTCCAGTTACACATTTCCTTTTTATATTCGGTCAAATGAATTATTTAGATATGGAAAACTTTTTATTCCATATGTATTTTTTCTTCCGTTTAATATTTAAATAAAAGTACCAGATGTTTATCTATTTAAAGATGACATGAAGGTCTTATTCGCATTTAAAAAATTGCAAACCCTTCATTTCATAATTTCATAAAGGTTTTTGTGTAACTATACTTGTAGACCAATATGGATTTTCTTTCTGTCTGTTGACGATCTAGTCTCAATATTTCGACTGCAAGACAGACCGATTTAATAATCTGATTTTTTTCATAGATGTCTTTCTTTAACAGAAGGGCAATAGCAAAATATGCATAAATATAATTATATACAAATACTCAAACAGTTTCCCCATGGTGATTGTAACTTTAAAGCATCGGTGTATTTGTTATAGGTTCTTCCTCCTCCAATAAAGTTGGAAAGTCGCTATATCACCTCTGTTGCGTTGGTGCGACATAAAACCCAACAAAAAAGTATATCTTTAACTTTGTTAACATAAAAAGTAACTTTTACTTCAGTTGATCTTGAATCCTTGAAATGTGATGTACAAATCATGCTTGACGCCGTTGGTGACGATCCAACAGAAGTAGCATGCGAAGGTGAATGTCATAATCTATTAGCAGAAGGCAATGTTATGAACTTCGGATGTCCACTAGTGTGCCATGCGTAAGTCTTCCATATAATGTTTTACATCTTTGTTTGTGCTAAAAAATAAAGTAAGTTTTATACGGTAAAAACTAATTGGGGTTTTCTTTATTTCAACACAAATTTAAGTTGTTGTTACTTTCAATGTGCCGATATTTGCACTATCAGCTAATTGATTTAAATATAAAAAAATCAAAGTAACGTGATTAACTTTGATGTCGCGAAGATAAAGTGTACATATATTCCAAACAATTTTCTTTCTCTTGTTCAGTGTGTAACAATAGAAAATTCTAAATATACATGTATAATTTCAGATTCCAGAACCTTGCCCACTATTTTCACGAGACACCTAAACCCGGACAGCAACACGCACACTGTGGCGGACTTTCACTTTCAACTACCAAGGCTGCATAAATCAAACGATACAAATCAATGATATAAATTCTAAAATAATAAATAATAAATTCAAGAGATCAAATTAGGCTTTTTTCATTTGAAGGAATACAATTTATGTATTTAATATAACAATACAGAAATTGAGTTACCAGCAATATAGAGCATGGCCAAACTGCGCAGATGAGCATGATAGCCCTCTCTCTTTAATTATTGGTCTTTTTTTCAACAAGCCATGGGCAAAACAAAAGTGTTTAGCAATCAAGCCATTTATCTTTACAAGGAAACATTCAAAATAAAATAATAGTTTGTCTAAACAGAAAGTGGTGCCAGACTCTTGCTCAAAGTGCCTTTATAAAACTTGGCCCTAAATCGGTTTATATGGCTCAAATGTCATTTTAGTTGTAGAAATTTGTCAGTCATAAAATCAGCAATATGTCAACACGGTATCTATGCCCATGCCTAAATGAAATATTACTCTGATTGCAATTGGAGAATCAATATGAAATATAGCAAAGGTTGGCTGAAAACGAATGAAACACAAAAATATGAAAGTGATGTACAATTGCTTGTACCTCCATGACCTTTATCCCGGTTATCCCAAACTCTGGTCCATGCCAAACACCAGAAATATTTGTGAGTTAGTGAAAATTCTATGACTAAAAAAGAAGCAATTTATTCTAAGTTTGGTGACCTATCCAGAGTAAATTGTAAAAGGCCATGCAACTTAATATGTAAATTAGGATAAAACGTTCTCTAACAAAATATTTCATCGCTGGTTCATAGTATGTTTAAAATAAAATACAAGTCTAATAATGCTAAAAATGATGTGAGTTTGATCATTTCATAATATGTCCTTTACACGACATGAAAATATTTAAACCTGAAAGGTTTGCCTTAATAAGAACAGATGCGATACAAATTGAAAGTTTTGACTATAAATTTAGTAAAGAGGAAATACGGAAGACAATATCATGTCTAAATAGGCATAAAAATCGTGAAGTTGATAAAAAATACACGTGACTATGGCATCACTTTTTTGTACTTTATCTTGTAAAACTTTGCAATGATATACGCCAATAGTGAATTTCCTGAGTAATAGGGTTAAGGTGTTATCAATCCTATATTTAAGAAGGGAGAACGTCATGTACTTTCAAACTACTGAGGTAATACTCTCCTTAATGTTGTTTCAACGATATTTTCGAAATTTTTAAGAGATCACATTAGTTAATGATATCAATAAAATAAGATTTGAGTGTTGAAAATTGAGTACTGCTCAAGCCGGTACTAGGGGTCGTGAGGGATGTTAAATTTAGTCATTATCCCTCATATACAGACTAAATCGAACCGAGTCTGCAATTTTCATGTACCTTTGTTGTGATAAATGCTTCCGAGGGATCACTTTGTATCCAGATTTTAATGGATCAAAGTTTGGGTCGAGAGATAGACTTAGTAATGTTGATTGCTTATTTATATTGCAATTTTATATTCAGAATGCGTTTCCTAAAAATTCTAAACATTACTGCACATTTATTGGTTATGAACGCAACGGGTTTTTGATACAGTTATAAACGAGATATAGTGGGTGAACTTAACAGAATCTCGTATAAGCTGTAAAATTGTAAAAATGGTGAAAAGCTATTGATCAAAATGTTATTTTTTGAATAATAGATACGGCTCCTTTAATTGTCGATTTCCGAAATGCTTGTATAGGTGTTTTACAAGAGGAATCATTCTCTCCACTATTGTTCATTTAATTTGTAAATGATATTTCAAATTTAGATGATTTGTTATTGGTAAAGGTTATTTGACTTTACTATCTGCGCATTGCTATTGTTGACAGATGACATAACTCTGTTTACCACAATCCCAACTTGATAACATTCATAGTTTTCATTGAAAAATGAACACAGATCCCGTTGAAATAATTAACAATTTTCCTGTTCGTGAAGATGCTTCTTTACTCGTAATATAAATATAAGTCTGTGAACGAGTTTACTATAATCTGTGAACAAGTTAGGAGATTCACACCTATGACTGAATGCAGACACTAAATATGTGGAATTGTTGGTGGCCGCGCCGAAGCGCGGCGCCTCTTATGGAATGAAATCAGATTTTGCGAAATGTCGCGATATGTACAATGAATAGCAAACTGGAGAATTTCGCAATGCAAATATTTTCAAATGAAATAACCTTTTCCGTCAATAAATCGCACTCTTCGGGGTATTTTTATTCATCATTTTGTAGTACACAGTGGGTTATTATGGTATGTTATTGTTGTACATGTATCCGAAAAGTGTAAATAGAATGATGAGTTGATGACCTAAATATTCCGAAAATCTATTTATAGAGGGATGTGCTCCTATCGGTAATGAATAGTACCACACGTTTATTGTCCGGTCTCTCCCGGTTTTGGAGTAGATGTTTGATATCGTTACAGAACAGAACAAATATTTTACAGATAAGCTTTTTTTCAAAATGATTGTTTGTCACTTAGTTTGGTTACAATAATTAATAAATACAGATCAATTCTCAAATTTATTGATTATTATCAACATAAACATACAATTCGAAAAAAACCCAACAATATCATGTTTTATCTTTCTGAGATAAAAACAATAAATATCTACAATAATTGATTGAGAAAAAAGGTACATTTTTATGGTATTAATATGACACTATCAACTTTGAAAGATTTTATTTAATTTGTTATTCAAAGGTACCGAGGAATTATTCAAAGGTTACAAATTAGATTTTATGAATTATTCAATTTATTGATAATTTAAAAATACAAATGTACATGTATATGGTTTCAGAATAAACAATATTATATATTGAAAGATTAACCATAATTTACTGACTTTTTCCAGTTAAGTTTTGACTTATAATCGTCGGTCAATATGACAATTGAATTTTTAAAATAGTAGTAAACGTAAAAACTCAGTATTAGAATAGCACATAAAACACAAAAAAGAAAAGAAAACAATATTCATAAAATCTGTAATTTTTTTATTAAAATAGATATTACAATTATTGTATAATAAATATAGGTGTGAAACAGTATGACGGACGTGTATTTATCTGCAGAAAACTAAATGTGATATTTTTTGGATATTTGATCTGCTTTTGAGTGTTTAAAATTGTTTTCAAGGATACAGTAGAAAGATAACACTATGAGTTTGCACGAGTTGCAAAATACAAGTACCCCAAATAGACAAAATGTGACTTTTGCCGTGCCAACGTCTAACAGATATTTCCCGCTGCAGTGGGTGGGGTGTGAGCAGACACCAATAAACATAGGAGGGGGACAGAAACATGCATTGGACAGTACAGGTAGCTCATATATGACTTCAAATAGTGAATCTTTTTTTATTTCATTAAATACTGATGAGAAATTAGTCATGATGTTCAGAAAATTGGAAAAATTAGATGCAAATGATAAAACTTTTATGTCAATGGCTGAAAAAATTGATAACACTATACGAAAAGTAGATACCCTGGAGCATGTTATTAGCGTGAGAGATGGTCACATGAAACAGTTAGCCTACCACAGTATAGACACTGAAGCGCGCTCGAGGCGCAATAATCTTATATTTTACGGCTTAGCTGATGTAAGGGCCGAGAATACATACGAACTACTTTTGCAGTTTTGCAGCGACCATCTAGATTTTGACCTAGGGGATTATTTTGTCCAGCGTGTGCACCGTTTAGGCTCTCTTCGTCGCGCCAGTGGTCTTACGCAAACTCCCAGACGTCCAATCATTGTCGCTTTTCGAGATTTTGGCGACACAGAGTTCATCCTTCAGCAAGCTAGAAAACTGAAGCATACACGATATAGTATTGATAGGGACTATCCGAAGGAAATTGCTAGCGCAAGAAAACGACTTTGGGGCCGTTATCGCAATGAAAGAGATTCGCATGGTTCAGAGGTAAAACTCGCGTATCCAGCGAAACTCATTGTAAAGGGACGAGTTATAGCAGACGAGTTCCCCGACTGGCATGAAATCTTGAACCAAGACAGGTGTAAAATGTTTATGGGTCAAAATAGTTCGCATAGTAAGCATAACCAAAGTGTCTACTCTGTTTCAACGGAAGCCGATAACTCAGTTAGCAACCCTCAATTTTCACAATCGCCGGCGCATCCTAATGATAGTCGAAATCAAACATATCGCATACCACCACGAATTCAGTCCCTTCCTACGTATAGCCAAGTAACAGCGGGAACTGCCTCTAGCTCGCCAAATATACCCCATTTTAGCATTGTATCGTCTGCTTTAACAGTAGACGACAGACGGCACGTGGAGCGTGACAACCTAGTGAACGGTAGTGGCACGGACGGTCATGATTTTTCACCTAATTCCGTATTAATCGAAAATCACGAGAAAATCACCGGACAATAGGACAATAGGGAGAGACATCCTATTAAATGTGCACTTTTAAATGTACAGTGTCTCGTTTCCAAAAATGTAAATAAACTAGAAACACCCGAATTGCGGACTTTATTCGATGGTTACAGTGTGATTTTCTTGACGGAAACTTGGTCGAGTGAATGTACTAACATGAAGGTTGACGGTTTTGAGTTATTTAGTCTACATCGGTCGGAGAAAAATAGCTATAGTAAAAGAAACTCTGGCGGCGTGGCTGTATACGTAAAACTTGACTTGATTGATTTTGTGTCTTTATACAGCACAGATAGCGATGATATTTTATGGCTGAAAATTGACGGTTCAGTATTTGATTTACATAATGATATATTTTTGTGTCTTTGTTATGTAGTACCGAAAGGAAGCTCAAGAGAAGCTTTCATTTTGTCAAATATATATGATAGAGTTTTAAATGAAATGGTAAAAATTAGTAGTATCACAAATGATAATTGTTCTTTTATAGTTCTAGGGGATTTAAATAGCCGAGTTGGTCAGTTGCATGATTATGTCAATGATGATGAATTAGATATACATATTAGCTCCTTTCTACCTGATAATTATGTACCAGATCATGTTTTACCAAGAATGTCTCAAGATTTTGGGACAAACCAGAATGGAACATTGCTTTTAGACTTTTGTAAGCAATCTGGCCTCAGAATAC